AGACTGGCAACCAATGCAGCTCGCGTAACAGCGGGGGTATATGAGCCCTCCTAGGGGCGCTATCCGTGCTGCTGCATTCTGCACCAGCTGTAGCTTCTGGATACCCTTCATGGGTAGCCCCATGTAGAGCATGTTACAGTAATCCAACCAGGTGGTGACCAGGGCATGAGTGACTGCGCAGAGGGCTTCCTGATTGAGGAAGGGGCATAACTGGCACACAACACGAAGTTGCGCAAAGGCCCTCCTGGCCATGACTGCCACCTGCTCTTCGAACAGGAGTCATGAGTCCAGGAGGACCCCCATATTATGCTCCAGGTCTGTCTGGGGTAGTGTGACCCTATCAAGAACCAAAGATGATAAACTTCTGGATCTTGAGGCTCCCTGTACCCACAGCCACTACTACCACCAAAAATAGCAGTGTTGGGCTTGGGCCACAGCTCCGCCAACATTCCCAGCCCAGTTGGACCAACTCTTGGCTCCGGTGTCACTCCCCTTGAGCCTGGGCATCATTCTCGGCTTGCACATCACAGCCACGGCAGCCGCCACTAGCATTCTCCCGCAGCCTTCGCAGCTTCCGTTGACCCCCTATGTCCAAGCACTGCCCACTGCCACACTCGCCCCCATTGCCCACGTCTTCTCTCCGTTCTCAGCATCCTTGTCCCAGCTGCCACCACCGCAACTGTCCTCCCCACCATGATGGCCCGCCTCAGACGGAAGTAATGCTGGGGGTTCTCTTCATTCACTCCACATTCACATGTGGGTCCCACATCTCCAACTATCCTCAGCCCCATACTGGCTGTGGCTGAAAGCCAGTTTATGGTGGTTATGGCTGGGAGCTATGCACTAGGTGTCCACTCCTTCCTGCCATCTTGAAAGCTCTTTTAGACACAGTCTATAGAGGCAGACTCTCTTAAAATTAACTTCTGGGTCCATTGTTCAAAAATATCCTTCAATATGTTGAATGTTAAAATATTTTGCTTCATTCTGCATTAGTAAGTCAGATTTAAGTGTTCTTTTCCTTTAACTGTAATTTTTAGTTCCTTTTAGTTCCCTCTAGTGTCCAGCTTTCAAAGTCTCATCCTATCATGTTTGTTTTTAAAGAGAATTTAAAACAAAAGCATTTCCCCATGGGAAGGACTCTTATGATTAATTCCAAAATCTTATTTCAAATCCATCTGGACCCTTAGGCCATTTGTAACTTTCCAAAATCAAAGTTCTGATCACCCTTTTGCTGTTTATTCCAAAAGAAAAAAAAGTCCTTACACTTGTATCTAAAACTTCTTTCACTAAGGATTGAGGGAAACTCCCCCAGTGCTATAAAACTTCTTGATCCAATGGTTCCTAATATCTGAAAAGCAGTTAACAAGCAATATCTAAAAGTGATTAGAAAAGGAAGTATGTGAACACAGTGTCCTTTTTGAAGACACCAGCTGCAGTTTCAGCAAGATGGTTATTCCCTCTTCTCCCAGAGCTTTAAACCCACTGCTGTCTTGCAGTCTCCTTGTGAGGAGCAACTGTATGGAGCACTTGTGGGTAATCTCAAATCCTCTCCTTGTCTGAAGAGGAATTACAAAGAGCTGGTCTATTCACTGGCTCTTCATTCTACCACAGTCGTTGGCTCTGCTTTTAGCTCCCCAGAAGTCCACTTGGGTTAGATTCAGGACAGCTGAGGAAGGAGGCAGTGCTCTGCAAATGCTCCAGGCTGGGTCAGAGCTGAAGCATTGCAAGTGATAATGAACAGAAACCAAAGGAAAAAAATCAACATGTGAAATTTCAGGAACCATTTGCAGTTAGGTACATAGAAAACTAAGAGAGATCATTAGCCAGTCTTCACTGGCTGGTGACAATTCTCTAGACTGGTCCCTACCTGTGACAGAAGATCAGACTCTACTTCTCCTATCAAATCAAGCTGGACCATTCAAATTATTTTGGCATCTGAAGCAGAAACTGTCTCCCTAGCAAGCAGAGAAGGAAGGAGAAGAAGAAAAAGTTGTTCTTCCCTTTCAGGGATGGCTCCAAAGGGAAAAAGCTGCTCCCCCAAAACATTTCCTCACTTTGCTTCTTAATAAGGCAAATATGCTATACACAAAAAATCCATGACCTAATCTCTGGGGCATTTAATGTATGGGGAAATTTTTCAATGTTCTTTGCCACCTTTTGTTCCTTCAAAATAATTGCTTTGGAGTCACTGCTGTTATAACTCAAATCAACTGTTTTTGGTGGCCATTTCATTCTTCTTAGGGACAAGGCCATTTTTCCTAATAGTTTTACTTGATTCTTTATTTTGAGGTGCCAGAAACTAAATCTAGGGCCTTCTGTATGCAAAGCTTATCCTCAGGTATTGAGTTCTTTCTCCTAAACCCATTATTACTAAGAACATGCAGAAAATATTAAATGTGAGCATACTACAGCATTTGTTCTAGGCTGGTTTTGCCTCAGACTGATATTCATATGTTCAGTATATAGATTAATTGAGAGTAACTGAAGATATTTCCTTTCCAGGCAGAAGGTATTTCCTTCCTGCTTTTTTTGAATCTATAGTTATGTATGGGCTTGTATAACATCACACATTTTCTCAGAGAATCTCCATAGGTAGAAGCCATGCTACTTTGTTGAAAAATCATCCTCTCATGCCCCACCAAAGAGAAATTATCTACAGGTAGTCCTTATTTAGCAACTGCCTCAAACAGTGACCATCTGCAGTTACAATGGTGATGAAAAAGCAACTTTGTGACCAATGCCCGCATTTACGCACTTCACAGCATCTTTCTTTCAGTGTTGGCCTTGCCACGTAGACCAGACAAGAAAAATGACCAGATAAGCTAATTCTACTTTATTGTAAAGCTACATTAATAGAATCTTGCAAGTCTGAAAAGTACAATTCTACCTCCATCTCCTTTACAACCCAAGTAACTAAGGAGGGTCCCTTCTGAGCTTCTTGCTCTTCCCAATACTCAGCTGCAGGCTATGCTGTCTCTTATCCAACCATTCCCTAAGCAGCCAGCATCTCTTCGCCCCATCTCCCAAGGTCTTTCCCATCTTTCCCACATACCATTACACTTAATCACATATTCAACATTGCAGTTAGTATGGTATTGCATTGTCCTGTGCCTGACCCGTTTTTTCCCCCCTCTTTTTTTGCCCCCTCACAGAATGGAGAGATTGTATAAACAAGCTATCTCTTCCTGAGCTGCTTTTTTCTGCAGGGCAGTGCATCCCTAAAAAGTGCTAACTGCAAGTTAACAAGCTCAGCTCTGTGATCTTAATTAGTTGATTAGAACCCTTTGGTGGGAATGGCTGCCTGAAACTGACCAGACCTTAATCAGTTTCACACTGAAGGCTTTCTTTTTCTTCCTAAGAGGCTTGCTGCTCTCTTGTAATCCCTTCTTCTCCAATGAATGTAAATACAAGCATCAATTCTCTTCTTGCTAATTATCCCAGCTCCAGGGTGAGGGCTATAAGGTTTGCCCTTTTACCTGACTTCCTCATAAGTCATGTTTCCTCACAGTTTGGATTTACCCAGCTGTTGGGGTCTTATCCTTCTGACGCTGTAAAGCAAAAGAAAGCTGAAGTAAGCACAGTTGTGGTCATGTGATTTTTCACTTAGTGACTGCTTTGCTTAAAGACTAAGTTGCCAGTCCTAATTGTGGTTGCTAAATGAGGACTACCTGTGCTTTCTTGGAGCTCTTCTCCATTAACATTTCCTTCCTAGATTTAAAAAGGCTGAGAGGAGAAAACTATGATTTCACCAAAGAACTTGAAGAGATGGAGAAAGAAAAAGAAGAAGCATCAAAAGAAAAACCTGTCTCCATTTGGCAGCTGGTGACCACTGCGACCTACCGCCAGCCATTCCTGGTGGCCATAGGAGTTCATATTTCTCAGCAGTTTTCTGGGATTAATGCTGTGAGTTTATCTGCTGATGGATCCTAATACTGAATATGTTTAATTGTGTTACTTATGCACACCTGTCTGGGAATGTTATTCAGCTAAGTGGGAGTTCTGGACAATCCAATAATAGAAGAGAATATATGTAGCTCAGGGTTGAACTGTGGAGTCCTTGGTGCTCTCTGA